GTTCGTCACATTTTTATCTGTTCTTCTTTATTCTTTTGTATTTTCATTTCTTCTTCATTGACATTCTCTTTATTGCGTTCATCACATTTTTGATCTGTTCTTCTTTAGCATTCTTTGTATTTTTCATTTCTTCTTCATTTGCCTTCTTCACATTCTTTATTACGTTCGTCACATTTTTGTTCTGTTCTTCTTTAACCTTCTTTGTATTTTTCATTTGTTCTTCATTTGCCTAATTTACATTCTTTATCGCGTTCGTCACATTTTTTGTCTGTTTTTCTTTAGCCTTCTTCGCATTCTTCATTTCTTTTTCATTTCTTCTTCATTGGCCTTCTTCATGTTATTTATCTCTTCTTTTGTTTTCTTCACATTCTGTACCTTTTATTCATTCTTTATCTCTTCACTTTGACCTTCTTATACGTTATCAATTTTCCATTCGCTTTCTTCACATTCTTTATCTGTTTTTCCTTCCCTCTCCCCATTTTTTATCAATTCTTTCGCCTTCTTGCTGTCATTTATGTTTTTTTTTTCCTTGGTCTTCTTCACATTCTTTATCTCTTTTATATTCGCTTTCTTATTTTTATCTCTTCATTTGCATTCTTCACATTTTATATCCCTTGGCCTTCTTCACATTCTTTATCATTTCTTCATTCGCATTCTTCTCATTTTCATCTCTTCTTCATTCGCATTCTTCACTTGCTTTATATCAATCCTCATTCATTCGCTTTCTTTACATGCTTTTTAACCATTTCTCCTTCGGTTTCATCAAATGGTCTTAATCTTTGGCTATCAACTTTTTCTAATTATTTATCTCTCTATTTTCTATATATTTTTAATTTTTGTTCTCTATCCAAATGCTTCATTTTTCTCCTCCATCTTACATTTTTCTTTTCTCATTCTTCTTTCTCTTTCTTCGCTTTTTCACCCCCTGTTCTTCTTTTCATATGTTTTATCTCTCCCTCCTTTCAGTTTCTTCAAACACATTTATCTGTTTCCTTCTTCATTTCTCTTCTCTAAGTTCTTTAACTATTTCACTACTTCATTCTTGTTCATTAACTTCTTCCTGTTTCATTCTTCCCTCGGTTCCCGATGTATTCTTTATATTAGTTTCTTATTCTTTATTATTCTTCTGTACAATAATTTTCTATTTTATTTCGTTCTCATTTTGTCCACTCATTTTTCATTTTCTTTATTTTCCTCATTGGCCTTCTTCGCATTCTTTATCACTTCTTCATTGACTT